GAGGAGGAGGGGGGGAGGAGGAGCCGCTCCGCCCTCCCGTCCCTACGCGGGCTCAGGTTTGGGAGCCACTGAGCGGCCGGCCTGGGCTCGCGACGTGGCTCTGGCCGAGCCCGGGGTTGGCAGGGAGGGGGGGTTCTCCCAAGGTGACCAGTCGGGTGTTGCTAGAAGTACCCCTGGACCAAGGTACCCCCACGATTCTCAAGGTAACCCAGACGGCAATCAGGGCACCCCTCACGAGGCCCAGAGGGCCCCAGGGGCTCCAAAACGGAGCGAAAAGCTGGGGGCACCTCGGGCCAGGGGCACTTCTAGCAACACCCGAAGGTGGGGCCGAGGGAGCAAGCCCATGGGGATACTCGCACTTGATTCTCAGACGGGCTGTCTCGAGCGATTTTCCGCTGACCCCACCTCTGTCCCTAGCCCACCTTTACTCGCCGAGCGCGTTCCACTACTCGCAAAGTGCCTACTCGCAAACGTCAGAAAAAAACGCACTGTCGCTTCGATGCCATGGATCGTAAATCGCCCGCGGCGGGTGCAGGCCATTTGCGAGCAGTTACTTTGCGAGTAATGGAACGCGCTCGTCTATGTACGCCCCAACCGACCGAGACGCTGACTGTCGAGCCGACCCGTGTTATGCAGCGCACCCTTCCGAAGAGGCGCAGCACGAGGCGCTGCTGGCGCGCAAGCGGGAGCTGGGCCTGGCCATGGAGGACAGAGGCGGACGAGAGGCACAAGCAAAACTGCACAAACATAACCTCTCGGAGGTCCGCACAGATCTCTTGGTGATCGTTTTCTTATTCATTGTTTTGCCGATCGGCGCGGGCCCTCGCCCCCCCCCGCCCCCCCCCCCTGGAGTAGATCTTGGCTGTTTTTGGCGCGTGTTTTGAGCCGCACTGTTACACACACAGTCGCACTAAGCAAAGGTCTGGAGCCAGACCCCCCCCCCTCCCCCCCTTTTCGCGCAATGTCGAGACGCCGAATAAAAACACGTTCACGAGGTCCGCGCAGATCTCTTGGATCGGCGCTGGGCCGGTTTTGCGACGCCTCTGGCGTCGCCCCTGGTGCGCTCCTCGCGCCAGGGAGGGGGGCCTAGCGCGGATCCCAGAAATCCGCGCGGTGCTCAGACAAATTATGTTTATGCCGCCTTTTGTTCATCTACGGGCGACAGGTAGGGGTCGGGAAATGGGGGGGGGCAGGCGGACGAGATGCAGGCGGACCCTTGTCTCTGAACAGGAGGCCGGCGCCTTCTGAGAAGCAGCTCCTTGTAAGAAGCGTTTCGACCCCCCCTCTGCGCGCCGCCAAGCTCCCCAGCTTCCGTCGGACGCGAGAGGAGCTGCGGAGCAACATGCGGGTCATGCAGGAAGACTGCGAGCGGTGCTCCGTGGAGGCTCGGAGAAGAGCGAGCCACATGGCTCGGCAGCGAAATCTGAACCCTTTCCTCGCCGATCAACGATTCGAGCAACTCGATTGGCGGCGGGGGTAGGGCTCGGAATTTGTCGAACGCGTGGCGAACTCCGAACCCTGCCCCTGCCTCCCATCGATTCGGGAGAATCGATGGTGGGTGCGAGTGTCGGGGGCGGCAAAGAGGGGGGTGATGACTAGGGGGGGGTGGATATCATGGCGGGGGCCATAATATTTCCCCAGGTTTCATGGCGCCTCTTCTTATTTCATTACGTCCCTGGCCCCCCCGCTGGGCCGCGCACATGCCGCCGGTCGTGATCTGTACCCCCCCCTCTTGGACACCCCCCTCTTGGCCGCTCCCGAGAGTGGATGGGGTCGGAGGATGGCGCCGCATCGCCGATGCATCGCCGATGCGGCTCGATGTGCAGCCCGATTTGCTTCACGTCGACGTCGCCGATGCATCGTCCACGTCGCCGATGCATCGCCGGTGCAGCGCCGATGCATCGTCGATACATCGCCGATGTATCGGCGACGCGGCCCGATCCTCCGACCCCATCTACTCCGACCCCATCTAGGAGGCTTCTAGTCCCTCTACAGGAAGACTGCTCAAAAATAGGAAAGCGCGCCAGTGGATGACCCTGTAGTTGAAAAGGGGGGTGTACTCGCAGAACCTCCCCCTCCCCCTCTTCAAAGGGGGGGTATGATTTTCGGCCCCCCCCCCCTCCCCCCCTCATAGGGGGGGGGTCCGAACCCCCCCTCCCCCCCCCCTTGAAGGGGGGAGGGGGGGTTCCGGACTCCCCCCCTCCCCCCCTTGGTGCTGGAGGGGGGGGGGGGTTCAAACCCCCCCTCCCTCCTCTTGCGCCGAACAGGCCGAACAGGAGGCCGGGGAGGGGGCCTCTCCCACGAGGGGGGCGGGTCTGGCCTCGGGATAGTGAGTAGTGAGTAGTGAATAGAGACTAGTGAACAGTGTGTAGTGAGGAGTGAGTAGTGAATAGTGACTAGTGAGTAGATAGTAGCGAGTAGTGAGGAGTGAGCAGTGAATAGGGAGTAGGGAGTAGTGCGCAGTGAGTAGTGAGTAATGAGTAGTGAGTAGTAGGTAGTGGGGAGTGGGTAGTGAGTAGTAAGTAGCGGGTAGGGAGTAGCGAGTAGTGAATAGTGAGTAGCGAGTAAGGAATTGTGAGTAGTGAGTCGCGAGGAGGGAGGAGTCAGTAGTGGGTACTGAGTAGAAAGTAGCGAGTAGCGAGTCGGGAGTAGCGAGTAGTGAGTAGTGAGTAGTGAGTCGTGAGTTGTGGGTAGTGAGTAGTGGGTAGTGGAGAGTGGGTACCGAGTGCTGAGTAGCGAGTAGGGAGTGGCGAGTAGTGAATAGTGAGTAGAGAGTAGGGCATTGGGAGTATTGAGTATGAGGAGGGACTAGTCAATAGTGAGCAGTGAGTAGGGAGTAGTGAGTAGCGAGTAGGGAGTAGCGAGTAGTGAGTAGTGAGTAGTGAGTAGTGAGTAGGGAGTAGGGAGTAGTGATTGGTGACTAGTGAGATGCGAGAAATGGGTAGTGAGTAGTGGGTAGTTCGTAGGGAGTAGCGAGTAGACAGGAGTGAGTAGTGATTCGTCAGTCGTGAGCAGTGGGTAGTGAGTATTGGGTGGTGAGTAGTTAGTAGTGACGTGTGACTAGTGGCTAGTGAGCAGGGAGTAGGGAGTAGGGGGTACTGCGTATTGAATAGTCAATAGTGCGTAGTGGGTCGTGAATATTGCGTATTGGGTAGCGAGTAGGGAGTAGCGAGTAGTGAGTATTGAGTATTGAGCAGTGCGTATTGTGTAAGGAGTAGGGGGTAGCGAGTAGCGAACAGGGGATAGTGCGTAGTGAGTTGTGGGCAGTGAGTAGTGAGTAGTGAATTGTGAGTACTCATAAGTGTTTGTAGTGGATAGTGGGCCGTGGGTAGTGAGCAGTGCTTTATGGGTCGTGAGTAGTGGGTAGTGAGGAGTGTTCAGTGAGAGGTGAGTATTGGATAGTGGGTAGTGAGCAGTGAGTATTGAGTGGTGAGTTGGGAGTAGTGAGTAGTGGGTAGTGCGTAGTGAGTAGTGGGTATTGGTTAGTGAGTAGTGGGTTGTGAGTAGTGAGTCGGGAGTAGTGAGCAGTGAGTAGTGAGAAGTGAGTAGTGAGTAGCGAGTACTGAGTAGTGTGTAGTGAGTAGTGGCCAAGGAGTACTGAGTATTTTGGGGGGCTAGGCCTAGGGTTTGAGGTCAGGGTTACGGGTGTTCGGGGTGGTATTGTTAGGGTGGTAGGGGTCGGGTGCCCGAGCCAGGGGGCGCCGTGGCGAAAAGGGGGGAGGGGAGGGGGGTGAACTTGGCGGCCAAAGGGGGGGAGGCGGGGGGGAGGGTACGGAACGCTCCCCCTCTCCTTCTGAAAGGGGTGGGAAAGGGGGTGAGGGTGGGGGGGGGTCCCCGACGACGGACTGGGAAAGAGAGGGGGGGTCCCCGACGACGGATCGGGGAAGGGGGGGGGGGTCCCCCGTAAAAGCGCGAGAACGCCCTATAGGTCCGTTCCCGTTCCCGTTCCCGTTCCCGTTCCCGTTCCATTCCCGTTCCCGTTCCCGTTCCCGTTCCCGTTCCCGTTCCCGTTCCGTTCCCGCCCGGTCGAGTGCCCGTCTACCTCCCCTGCGCCTTCAAGCCGACCCAAGATACGCGAACGGGAACAGGAACGGCAAGCCTCCCACGGCCTCCCCTACTACTACTACTACTACTACTACTACTACTGCCTCCAAGAGGCCCCCGAAAGGCCTCCCGCGATGTCCCGACGACCATCATCATCATCATCATCATCATCATCATCACCATCATCATCACCATCATCATCATCATCATTGCCGTCGTCAGCACCACCACCACCACCATCATCATCATCATCATCATCGTAATCATCACCATCATCACCAACATCATTATCATCATCATCAGCATCATCATCATCATCGTCAACATCGTCATCATCATCACCATCATCATGATCAGCATCGTCATCAACATCATCAGTATCATCATCGTCATCATCAACATCATCATCCTCGTAGTCGTTATCGTCATCGTCATCGTCATCGTCATCATCATCGTCACCATCATCGTCGTCATTATACTCATCGTCGTCATCAACATCATCACCTTCATCATCCTCAACACCAGCATCATCATCGTCATCATCATCATCATTATCATCCGCATCATCATCATCATCATCATCATCACCACGGTGGCGGGAATTGCCGCAGGCAGCTGAATATGCACGAGTGTATTAACAGAACCATGGCTGGGTGGGCTACGCTGGGGATGGCCTCCACGACGTAAGAGATTGCATTCCAGCGTGCTAAGATGGTCCAGTGTGGCCTCCAGGACGGCCAGCATGCCGTCGAAGACTGCCAGGGCGGCCCTGCATGGCCCCCGAGGCGACCGAAGATGCCCTCCAAGACGGCCAATATTGCCCGAAAAAGGAGTCCAGATGGCCCCAAGTGGCCCCCAAAAGCCCGCAGGAAGCCCCAAAATGCCTCCAAGAGGCCTCCTCCCCCCCTCCTTATCATCTCATGTGCCTCTTCGTTATCATCACCATCATCCCCCTCTATCCTGCTCCTCCCCCATCTTCCTCACACAAGTGTTTCCCCCAAGGGTTTCAACAGCGGCTGGGGGAACACATGGTCCAACACCTGGGCCAAACTTCGCCGTAACGCTTGGCCGCGTCGGCGTTGCCAAAAGGCAAGGGGCGGCGCTGATTCGCCGTAGGCGTCTGACAGAGACCTTCCGAGACCGCCAACGAACTCCCAGGAGACCACCAAGTCCTCCGCCCTGACGTCCCCAAGAAGACCCCTACGGGCCCCAAGAGACCTGCAACATGCTTCCAAGAGGCCCCCGAGAGGCCTCTCAGGAGAGCCCAACACGCCTCCAAGCGTCCGCAGCCTTTCTGGAGCCTCCCTCTTGACCCCCCTTCAGGGTGGACGGAGACCACGACCACGACGACGACGACGACGACGACGACGACGACGACGACAACGACGACGACCACGACCACGACGACCGACGACGACGACGACGACGACGACGACGACGACGACGACGACGACGACGACGACGACGGGAACGGGAACGGGAACGGAACGGGAACGGGAACGGGAACGGGAACGGGAACGGGAACGGACCCCTGGGGCGTTCTCTTTTTTTCACGGGGGTCCCCCCCCCCCTCCTTTCCCCTTGGGGCCATCCAGCGGCTCGCCCTCCAAAAATAGTCAACAAATAGTCAGGGGACGGTTTTTTTCGATGATGGTTTGATTTTGTTGTTGAGTATTTTCTGACTCTTTGTATGTTTTCGCTCCACATCCGCCTGTAGGGGGACACGCCCGACCCAGAGTAGGCGCGGGCACGGGGAACGCCGATCTCCACGTTGGGCTGTGCCCCCCGTGGAGGGGAAGCGCAAGGCTCGAGCGTGCCGGATCTCGGCCTTGCGGGCGCTTTTTGACGAGCGCGTCCTGGGCTCGTGGCAGCCCAGCGCGCGTGGGACGCTTGCAGCGGGAGCTCGCGTCAGATTTCAGACTGGGTCTCGTCATTCCCCACTCAGCGCTTGCACGGAAGGGTTCCTGGCAGGAAGTCAAAGATTCGGCGAAAGTTTCCCGCCGAGTTGCGTGGCCGGCTGGGTTCCCGAGTTCCCGGTGCCAGCTTCCCGGGTTTTTGGTCATTGGTTCTGGGTCGATTTCGGTGGGCTCCGGGCCCCCCGGGTTCCCAGGTTCACGGTCGATCTTTTTATCGATCTTTTGATCGATCCCATTCCATACCATCCATTGATTGGTATTTTTCTCTGGTATAGTTTTCAGGATGGCCCCGTCGGGCCAACCCAAATCCCCCGAACACGAGTATTGCGCCTCCCCGACCCGTTAAGAGGGCCCTGGGCGCCGTGGACCAGGACACAGTGCACGGAGGCATACGGAAAAGCCTATTCCGAGTTTCTTAACAAGCGTCGGGGGGGCGTCACCCACGCCGACAGCCCTGCATCGACCCCCGTCGCGGGCAGCCACCGCGCGCCGAAGGCGCTCCGATCCCCGTCGCGGCGCGACGACGAGGCGAGGTTGACCCTCGTCGGGGGGGTAACCCCCCACGCTTATTTGTTTAAGAAGCCCAGAGTACAGTCGACCTGCATATTCGGATGGGCCACCTTCCCACGGGCACCCTTGCATCCTTGCCTCCTCGGTCCACCCTGAGCGACTTTCGCTGGCCAGCCTCGTTCGAAACACGTGATCGTGGTCCTCCAAGGCACTTGCATTCTTACCGCGCATCCTTATGATTCGGGTTGACTATCAGCCCCCACTGAGCTGAGCCCCCGTTTGCAAGGCCGCGATCCGCGCGGGCCTCCGCACGTTTTTGTCACGTTTGTTTACGGCGCCTGCCGCTCCTCCCGGAAGGCGCAGGAGGCTTCCGCGGCGCAGGCGAGCGCCCGGGCGCTGGCCACCAAGGCGCGCGACGAGCTGGACAAGGTTCGGCGAGTCCCCAAGCTCGGTATCGTTTAACCAATCCCCATCCCCATCCCCATCCCCTTCGAGACCCCCCCCCAAAAAATCACCACCCCCGTTGGGGATACACCCCTCGAAGCCCGAAGAGAACGGCCTATATCCCCATCTAGGGGAGTAAATCGGCAAGCGGTGCGGAGACCACACCGTGTGGCATGAGCTGATAGCTATCGCAGTGAGAAGCAGCACAAACATACAATTCGGGAGCTCCGCGCGGACTTCTTGGATCGGCGCTGGACCCCCGTCCCTGGCGCGCTCCACGCGCCAGGGGGCGGCGCCGGAGGCGCCGCCAGGGGGGCCCAGCGCAGATCCAAGAAATTCCAGGATAGCTCGTAGAGAGCTAAGAGGGCTTCATATTAGAAGCCAGCAGCACTGGGTGGCCCGGCAGCTCTTTCCGGCGTCGGGCAGGCATCCCCAGAGCAGGATGCTTGAGCCGGCAGCGTGTCCCGAGAAGCGTTTTCCTACCCGTTCCCGATACGCGCGTCGGAAGGTTTTCCGCAGTTCCTTCGAAGATTTTTGGGAGCTCTTGCGAAGCTCCCTTTCCCAAGCTTGCAAGCTGCCCAGGCATCCTTTCCAGCGTCCTTGCAAGCGTCTCCCACAGGGATTTCCCACGCCGTGGACTGCGTCGCTGTCTGGGTTTTGGACGCCACAAGTTCGCGCGGGGCGTCGAAAGTTCATTACTGAGCCGTTTTTTGGTTCATCTAAACGAGCACCCAGACCATTGCACCCCCCAGATTTCGCGGGGTGGAGTTCCAGGGGGGGGGCTCTGGGCGTCTGTTGTCAGATGGGCCCCACCCCGCTCGAACGGGAGCTCCCCTCGGGGTCTGACTTCTCGCGCCCGTACAGTGCCGTTTTTAATACATGCTCCGAGTGCGGATCATGCCTAAAAATGCAGGGGTTTAGTATTTAATGCAACGATGAGTTCATGCGTAAACTTTTTTTCGTACATTAGTCATGTTTTCAACATCCCACATGTTTAAACATCCTATGTATTAAAAACCGCCCTGTACGGTGTTTGGACCTGGGTCGTCCTCCGAGCATGTCGCGGGTTTCCAAAGCCGTGGGGGGTAACGGACCGCGCGAACTGCTCAGCGTAACACCGACCCTGGCCGGGCCCATCCTGGGCCCGGGATCGGTGCATCTGCCGCCCTGGCCAGGACAGTCGACTAGACGTAAGAGTGACCTTTCGCCGGAGTGACCTTTGGTGCGGGCCCAGTGGGGCCCCCCAATCGCCGAACGCGATGCGATAGTATCGTCTTGCGCGCCTGAGTTCGGTCCCCCCGCGGCCCCGGAAAAGCCGCGCACCAAAGGTCACTCTTACCCAGGGTCACTCCTGCGTGTAGCCGAGACAGGACGGCGCATGCACCGATCCTGGGCCGAGGATCGGCCTGGCAGGGATCGATGTTGAGGCTTAGCTGTCGTCGTTGTCGGTCGTCGTCGTCGTCGTCGTCGTCGTCGTCGTCGTGCGTCGTGCGTCGTGCGTCGTGCGTCGTCGTCGCGGTGCCCTCCCAACAGGTGTCCAACCAGCTCTGGCGCTCGGGCCAGCAGAGCCTGGAGCACCTCGAGGCGCGCGGCCGCCTGCGGGGGGAGCTGGCCCGCTCCTCGCAGGACTTCGGCGCCCTCGCGGAGCTGGAGGACCGGTCCAAGGCCGCGGTGCGGAGCGAGGCGCAGAGGGGGGAGATCCACCAGACGTGAGAGTGACCATTCGCCGGAGTGACCTTTGCTGCGGGCCCACGGGGGTCCCCCTATCATATCGCCGAGCGCTGTGCGACGGCAGGGTCTTGCGCGCTCGTGTTTGGTCCATCTGCGGCCCCCACAAAGCCGCGCACCAAAGGTCACTCTTACTCAGCCACGCGCAAAGGGGGGTGGGGTGGGGGGGATGGCTTCTTAGAAACACCCCTGCTTCTTAGAAGGCGCGGGCCTTATCTCTAGATGTAAGGCCGGCGCCTTTAAGAAGCAGCCTGCTTCTAAGAAGCCCTCCCCCCTCCCCCCACCCCCTTGTGCGCGCCGCCAACTTACCCAGGGTCACCTCCTGCGTGTAGTCGAGGCGAGAATGCCCCCCCCCCCCCGGCGGCAGAAGACCTGGAAGCGGCTCCGCAGAGCTCGCGGTGGGGGGCCCCACGCGGGGGGCCACGATGTGACCCCGGTCTCGGATCTCGGGAGCCTGGGGCCCATCACTGGGCGTTAGAACCGTACGCACATGATGTACATTTATATATATATATATATGTATATATGTATTCATCTATGTATGTATGTATGTAATGTAATGTATTGTAATGTAATGTAATGTAATGTAATGCAACGTAATGCAATGCAATGCAATGCAATGTAGTGTAATGTAGGGTAGTGTAATGTAATGTAATGTAATGTATTGTAATGTAATGTAATGTAATGTAATGTAATATATGTATGTATGTATGTATGTATGTATGTATGTATGTATGTATGTATGTATGTATGTATGTGTGTGTGTATGTATGTATGTATGTATGTATGTATGTATGTATGTATGTATGTATGTATGTATGTATGTATGTATGTGTGTGTATGCATGCATGCATGCATGCATGCATGCATTTATGTGTGTATGTATGTATGTATGTATGTATGTATGTATGTATATATATACACTATCACGCGCAACTACCCGAGGGAGTAGAGCTCGGAGGCGATTTTTTGAGGGTCCCGTCCCGTTCGGGATGTTTCTGGCCGTTTCGCTCGGGACATCCCCTCAGAATTCAGAACATCGGTGGCACCCCTCACGCAGATCGCGACGTCAGGGTCAAACAACGACAGGGACTCGCTACGTTTTGACATAGAACTTCAAAACACAACAGAACCCAATGATTTTGAGCCCGATTCTTTGAACATTGCAGCTTCACCTTGGGCAGCCTCAAAAAACCGAGCCTCTTTTCAACGCGATTCTTAAATGCATGCAGTTTCGTTTGAGACATCCTCCCAACATCGAACCCCGACGCACAACACTCGCATACTACGCACAGAACACACATACACACCACGCAGAACACACACACATAACTCACAGAGAGCACACACAATACCTACAACACGCAGACCACACCCACACACAAAGAACAAACACACGCACACACAATCCACACATCACACCACATACATAACACACACAACGCACACATACCACGCAAAACACGTAGAAAAGACATGAACCACACATGACTCACACATAGAACACGCACATCACACCATACGCACACAACGCAATAAATAACACAAACCTTTGACACACGAACACACACACGCACGCACGCACGCACGTACGCACGCAAACACACACACACGCACACGCACACGCACACGCACACGCACACACGCACGCACACGCACACGCACACGCACACGCACACGCACACACGCACACGCACACGCACACGCACACGCACACGCACACGCACACGCACACGCACACGCACACGCACATGCACACGCACACGCACACGCACACGCACAAGCACACGCACACGCACACGCACACGCACACGCACACACACATTCACCCGCGCACACACACACCAACACAACACACACAACACACAACACACAACACACACAACACACACACACCACACACCACACACACACGCACACACAAACACACCACACTCACATCCCATCTGGCCCGTGCGTTTCTTTGAGTCTGGACACGTACCTGCCATATATATATATGCACACACGTACACACATATATATATATATATATATATAGGTCAGGAGGGGGGCGAGCCGCTGCCTGTTCCCCCATGGGTGTCCGCCGGGGGCCCTTGGAGTCTGAATTCACAAAAACCCAAACACGAACACGACAGTGTGAAGATTTTGTGGTCAAAACGTATGGTTACCATCAACGACAAAAAGGTTGCCTGGTATGATAAAGACGGGCAGTGGCAAACGACCAGCCTTGGAAAATCAGTCGCGACCGAGGTCGAAGCATCGATAACCGCTTTTCGTCAGAAAATCAACCCGGACCCCGATACCGACAGCGATCTGTAGGACCTGGGGTTCCGACAGTCACCACATGAGGCTACAACATAGCTGCAGATCTGTGAGTAACCTAAATTTTCTTACGATGCGCTCCCATCCTTCAGGATCCTTTCCGCCCAGTGCGTCGGCAGGACACAACGGGCAGCTACCTCTATCAGGACGGCCTCAACAAGGACATGTTTTACCGACTCCGGCATCGACCTCCGACACCAACGCTCTCTCACCCATCTACCCCCATCTCCCTCAGGACCTCCCACCTCCGAAGGACCATCATGATGCCCAGTCTGAAGTTTCACGCGGCCGCGGCCGAGGACGACGGATCTACGACAACGTTTCCAGAGATGTGCCGTGGTGCATCCTACGGCAGGGACGTACTACTACTTCCGACTCTGGCGCCGCTCTCCCCGACGACGGTGCAGCCCAGGATGCTCCGACTCCGGCTTCCCACTCCGACAGTGCCTGTCCGTTTCCAGCGATCGATTCCGACCTCCACCCCCAGAGAACCTCGACCCATCTACACTCTTCAATCTCCAACCTCCGACAACCCACGCCCAACCTACCACATCCCGCCTTCGACGCAGATTCTGCCGACTTTCTGACCTCCCCCCTTCAGGCCTCCCAGCAGGACTCGCAGTGTGAAGCTCTCCCGGAGGACATCGTTACGACGATTGGGGATGTTTGCGGAAGGAGTCGTCATGGGTTACATATTTACCACCAGCACGTTGATGATTTTTGCAATGACGTCCGCCATGAACGTCAACACCAAGATGTTCCACTTCAACGGCCTTGTCTTCAATCACTTGCTCCCGACTCCAGCTTTCGACCTCCACCACCCGACTTCCCACCTCCACCCATTGACCTCCAGCCTCCACCATCCCAGAGTATGACCTCCGACTTCCCACCTCTACCTCCACCTATCGACCTCCATCCTCCGCGAGTGCAGCATTCCTACCTCCAGCATCCAACACTCGGAGGAAAAGGAGGAGGACGAAAGGCTTACAACGACATGTCCGGCGACGTCCCACTGTGCATCCTCCAGCAGAGATGTGCGAACTCCCTCCCTAGCCAAGCCGGGTCCGACACCCAGCATGTCTCAATACAGTCTCCAGTCGACCTCCAAACACTTAGTTCCGACAATCAACATCCGCCAACACCCATATGCAGCTTTCGACTTCCACCCTCCGAGTCACAAGTTTAAGCAATCGACTTCCCACCAAGTTCCGACTCCCAGCATCTACCACCACTCATTTCCAGCCTTCGACCTCCACCCATCGACGCACACTCTCAACCAGTCCACCTTCATCCATCAACTTCTGGATCCCAGCGCCGACCACCATCCACCTCCAACTTTCGGCCTCCGCCGGCAGGCTTGCAACCTCAACCAGTCCACCTCCAATCGCCAAGCTCTGACTCCAAACATCCACCACCAGGCAACCCGACCAGTGCCATAGCAGACAGCCACACGATTGGGATTTACCACAAAAACGTGCATGGATTGTGCACTGAAGAGCGGGTTGTTGAATTAATGGGGGAGGCTAGTTCTATCGATTGGGACTTCATTCTGTTGAGCGAGGCTTGGCGTACAGACGAACATGAAATATGGGAGACAAAATGTGGTAATATTTTCATGGGCTGTGGTTGCACGAAAAACAGCAGAGGAATTGCCATACTGGCCAACCGGCGGTGGAGTCGGCGCGTAATCCAATTTCAGCGGGTTAGTCAGAGAGTGTGTTATGCAGACGTTGGGGTGCACAACATGAAATTACGTCTGGTCTCAGTTTACTTCCCTCATGGAGGTTATGGCGACAAGCGCGTACAGAAATTATACGACGAGCTCGCGCAGATACACATAGAGGCATACAACAACAAATTTGCTACAGTTATTGGTGGTGACTTCAATGCCCGGATCGGTACACGAGCTGAGGACGACAACAAACGTACCATTGGACAACATGGGGTTGGAATTATGAATTCAAGGGGACAATGGTTGAAATAATGGGCAACAGATCAACTCTTCAGGATAATGAACACGTTTTTCTACAAGCGCGTCGAATGCATGTACACGTACACATCGCTGAAAAATATCCGACACCATATCGATTTCTTCTTAGTTGACAAGCGTTTGTGGCGCCACACAACAGACTGCGAGTCGACGCCAGCATTAGATTTGGGATCTGACCACCGTGCGTTGCGCATGACCTGCAAATTACCCCCCAAACGGGCAGACGGTGACCATGAACAGCACGAGCAACGACCAGACCGTTGACAAGGCCGACGGCGCCGACAGCAACGACCACAGTGGCCACCACCGGACGTCCCGGAATACAAACAGCACCTCGATACTGCAATCAAGGACTCCCATCTGCTCGACGCCGGGCTCCAACTACAGTGCGAACAAATCGAGCATATATTGATAGACACATTTGTCCGACTCCAGCTTCCTCCGACCGATGACCTTCCAACCGGTGGAACGACGAACAGTACGCTGACACAGTAATTGCGGCAACGGCACGACACCCCGACTACAGAGACGACAATTCGGAACCACCTCAACAAGCGTATCCACCGAGAAGTCCGAGCAATCAAAAGGGCCACCCGCCGAGGCGCCATCGACCGTATTCTGACTGCGTTCAAAAACTTGAAAC